AGCAAGTACTTAAGTAAATACATGGTAATTTGAAGTGGATTATCAAATTTTAAAAGTAATCATTTTTATTTATGAATACTCAGTTAAAATAAGGCATTTTTAAATTAAAATCCAAAATGGCAACTTGACATTTGTTTGCCCTTCACAAATGTCAAACAGTAAAGGTACAGAGTTACTTTTACTCCATCAAATTTAATTTGGTAAAAATAAAATTTTTTAACCAGATTTCTTCTTGAAATTTTAAGCAATTGATCCTATAAGCAAAACGTATGCTGGCAAGCCATTTCTTTGTCTTCAGATTAATGGAAAAGGGTCAGTATGCTGTTAATAATTTCAAAACAGCAGTTAACACTGAAAAGTCATCTACAATTATCTTCAGAATACATTTTTAATTTCTCTAGATTATGAGATCATTTTCCCTATGTCACTTCATTTAAATTACATCATAGTCAGTGATTTTTCTAAATCTTAAGCTTTCACCTATAAAGTGTCAACACTTTTACATTTTAACAATTTTTATTGGAAATATTCTAGAATATTTATACTCTTGCTGAACAGAGAGGAAGGAACCAAATGTGATTTAATCTTTTGTTGGTAACTGTCAGGGCATTACTTGTGAAAAATCAAATCATTGTTCAACCTTGTGCTTCCAAATTTCTCCTACAGAATTGTAAAAAACAAGAGCTCACATTTAGATGGTGCTTATTCTCTTGCAGGCACTGATCTAAGCCCTTTATACACATCAATCATTACATCTTTACAGCAATTCTCAGGTTATTTCCAATTTCAAGATGAAGAAAAGGGTGACAAAGAGGGTAAGTGACATGCCCACAGGTGCATAGTTGGTAAGTGGCAAAACTGGAACTCTAACACAGTCAGCCAGACTGCAAGCCCTGTATTCCTACATACCACGCTTCCCAGGATTCTGTCTATTAGTGGAAACTGGAAAGCATTGAAGAAGGTGGCTGGTAATTAAGTTTAACTGCTGCAACCTCAGGCATAGCCCTGTTATCGAACAACTAGGTCTTTACCAGCATTATCTCTTTTCAAAGTTCTCCCGCTCCTCTGATCCAAACTGCAGTTAGCATCGGCTACCAACAGTGATGGAGCATTTCCTCTGTGGCAGGCATGGTTCTGGGCATCTTACAGATATCGCCAAATCCTGTGATATTGTCGTCTCCGAAGGGCCTCAGGCTCAGAGATGTTCAGTGGCTTGTTCAAATCACACAGTGACTGGCAGACCTGCCACTTTCATTCCTCAAACACCTCAAGGACAAAATCCTCCATCATTCTCCATTTGCCCATAGGATAGAAGCCAAATTCCTCACTGGCAGGCAAGGTGCCATGCTATCTTTCCAACCTTATCTCCTGCTGGGCTCCAGCTTGACTCCTCTGTTCCAGACTGGCATGTCAGTGCCCTCTCCCCCAACCCACAGGCTCACTCCCGATGCCCAGCCTTCCATCCGTTGTTCCCACGGCCTAGAATATCTTGTTTTTTCCTTTGGGCCTACTCAAATCCTGTGTGACACAGGACACAGCTCAGCCTTCCCTCTCACACAAGGTCCTCCTCTCTGAAATGCTCCAGGCCCTATCAATCTCCCTTCTCCCTAGATTCCTGCCTATACCAGTCATTGGGCATTGAGCACACACAGCTGTACACCAGCTCATTGGCTCAGGCCGGCTGACTCATGGCTCCACACCAGACACCTGAACTGAATATTTTGACTCTTGTACTACCTTGCTTCATATGTATGGTCAGAAGCACCACAGAGATTTCTCCGTGACCTGTTGCACCTAGATCTGGAACAAAAACTGCTTTCCATGGAAAAAATGAAAAGTAGATGAAATTTATCATTGATGCTTTCTCATATAGTTCCCCTAAGTTATTCTATCATATGTAAGGTTATATGTATGTGTAACCTTGCTATTTTTTCCCTACTCTTTTTTTTCTATTGAATATGAAAATAATAATTATAATAACAAAACAGACATATTCCTATGCCAGATACGTTTCAAATGCTTCATGAGTATTAACTAATTTAGTCTTTTCAACAATCCTTTGAAGTAGGTATTTATTATTACCTTCCTTCTACAGATGAGCCAACCAAGTCACAGAGAGGTTAAGAAACTTGCCTAAGGTCACACAGCTGGGATTCAAAGTTAGGCATTTAATTATGATGCTATCTATACTGCCTCACCAATGAAATAGTGTATTGTTCTTTTTTTTCTGATGGTGAAAGTAATGACTGCTAAGGGTTTTTTTAAAATCAGATAATAAAAAAAGTATAAGCACCACAGAACTATGGTAACTGGAAAGCAAAACAGGCAATAATTTATTGTGAAATGAACTTAAGTTCCAAATTCTAATGCTGAGAATGCTGGCGAGCTAGGGTTGACCACAGGGCTGAGATTGGGCTGACTAGGCCAAATCCAGATGTACTAACATCTGGATTTGGCCTAGTCAGCCCAGCGGGGGAAGAGACAGAAGGCAGGGTGCCAGAACATGGGTCTGCTCTGAAAAAAACAAAAACAGAAAACAAAGTATAAGAATATCATCCATAATCCTATAGCCCAGGGAGAATTAAATAATCTATTCAAGCAGCTATAAATATACATTAGTTCCTATTTCAGAAATAGGGACTGATACTATACCTCATGGGGTTTTTTTTGTCTTTAATTCAAAATCTTAAACAGCTTCACTGAAATATAATTTATATACCATAAAATTCTCTTGTTTTAATCATACAAATAATTTTAGTAAATTTACAGTTTTGCAATCATTACTACAATCCAGTTTTAGACCATTGCAACACCCCCAAAAGACCCCTTGTGCCCATTCCTATCCATAGCCACTGGCAACTGCTAATCTACTTTCTCTATATATTGATTTGCCTGTTCTGGACATTTCATATAAATGGGAGCATACAATATGTGGTATTTTGAATCTGGCTTCTCTTATTTAGCATAGTATTTTCAAGGTTCATCATTGTTGTAGCACGTATCACTCACTGCTTCACCCTTTTTGATGAGCAAATAATATTCCATTGTATGTGTATACCACATTTTGTTTATTCAACTGTTGATGGACATTTGCATTGTTGCAAATCAATAAAGCTGCTATGGATATTTATATACAAGTGCTTTTGTGGACGTAATGTTTTCATTTCTCTGGGGTGCAATTGTTGAGGCATATGGTAATGTTAAAATGTAAATATGGAAAAACAAAAGTAAATAAAAAAAATTAAAAAAATTGTAGATTAACAACAACTGGCATATATGTTTTAATGGAAGGTTTAGGGATATTCCTGAACAAAACAGTGGTTGTCACTTAACAGGTTCCAGAATGAGATGAATGGTTGCACCCTGGACTCTGTCAAGAGTGGAGCTTCACGGTCTTGATGGGTAGAATATGAGGTATTGTGTAAAGTTAGAAGCTTCTTTAGGAACTAATTTTCAGAGAAAATCCAGGGAGGGAAAGAACCTGTGAGAGGGGCCTCAGAATAGGAATGTGAAAGGCTGGTTAGAGGATTTCAGAGCTCAATGTGGAAAAGGCTAATTTGCTGAAAGAGAGGGTCACTGGACAACCATTTTGATGAGAAGCCAAGTAGGGCCAACACGATCCTTTGGAGACCTGTGCCCCTAGGGCCGGGGCCCAGAATTTGGAACCTGAGTACTAACACTTGGGAAAAGCAAGGAGCTTGGTGGGGGGGAGATGTAAGGGCAGCAAGCGCCCTGGCTAGACAAGGGCCAAAGGTTAGGGAAGTGCAGTGAGCGAAGAGGTATGTAAAGGGCCAACAAAAAGCTCCTCCAAGGTGGTAGGTACCTATATGACACTGAGCAATGCAGACAGAGATCAATAGAGTCCTTTAAGCCACAACCTTGGGTCTTTAACTTTTATTTTTCATGTGGAAAACTATACGCCACTGCAGGGGCCAGCTGCTGTGTGCATGGAATACACTGGAAGAGAAAGAGACCAGCTGGGAGCTACTGCAGAAATTCATACGTGAGAAGGGCTGGCCTTACACGTGGGTGTGTAGGAAGAAATGATCAGCAGGCCTTAGGGATGGATTTGCCGTGCAAGTGCAGAGAGAGGAGACAAGCAGGTAGGGGTGGGGGTGGGGAGAAGGCTGTAAGATGATTGTTTTTTGGAGGTATAATTATATACGGACAGTAAAATGCACAGCTCTTAAGAGTGGAATGAATTTTGGTAAATGTCTATATTTGCTTACACACACACACACACCTCCCAGTTTTTTTAAAGGCCGAGTTTCAGGTGCCTACAGATCCTAAGTGAAGTTGCCTCAAAAGCAAGAATCTATATGCACCTAAAGTGAGAAAAGCAACAAGGGCTGGAACTAGAGATTTGAAAGTTAACTAGAGATTTGAAAGTTATCTGGAGCCAGCAGGTAGAAATCTTGTGAGCAAATGAGGAAGGGGTGACTGGACAACAGAAAGACCCAGTTTTGGGCGCGCTTGAGCCCCCCACACCGAGGGTCTTATTTGCGGATATAAGTGCAGAGCCTTCTTTTTTCTCAGGCTTTCAACCTCGTACTTACTTCTCTTAAGAGAGAAATAAACCACTTTTTGAGCTGGTTTCTACCAACGTCTGCCCTACCGAACTTGCAGAATGGCGTCGTTGGGGGAAGGGAGCTAGAGGATCCTACAGAGTGGGTGGTCTGCACCTCCTCCAAGCAGTATGCGCGACTACCACGCACAACTATGTTCTTGACCTGGGAAGCCCAGCTTGCTCCGTGCAGCAGCCCTGGAGCAATGCCTCGGTGTTTGCAGCTGGTGCAAGCTTGCAAGCGGCGGGAGCACCGCAGCTCGAGTTGGGGAGAGGTGGGCGTGGCCGCGCAGTCCCGGGCAGTCCCGGGAATGTTCTGAAAAGTATCCAAAAGTTCCGCGCCGCGCTCGCGCCAAAAAAAAAAAAAAAAAAAAAAGGGCACAACCCCCCACTACTCTGGGCGTTGCGTGTCCCGACCTCGCCATTCGGACTGCACCTCCAGCTGCAGTGCACACGCTTCCTGCGCCTTCTCCCGAGCCTCGCCGTCGGCTGGGCTTTTCCTTTGCAGAAGTCTCCAGACCCGAGAGGCGGCCAGAGTCCTTGCGCTTCTCTTTGGGGCACCATGCCCAACGACGACGCATTCAGCAAGCCTTCGGCACCGTCGGAGGCCCCGCACGTCCCCGGGGCACCGCCGCAGGGCAAGGCCAGCTTCGGCAAAGCTGCCGGGGCGCTGATGGGGGCGGCGGGCGCCGGGGGCAGCGGCGGCGGCTCCGGCTCGGGGGCGTCGGGCATGGGCGCTGGGAGCAAGAAGTCCCCGCGGCTGCCCAAGTGCGCGCGATGCAGGAACCACGGCTACGCGTCGCCGCTCAAGGGCCACAAGCGCTTCTGCATGTGGCGGGACTGCCAGTGCAAGAAGTGCAACCTGATTGCCGAGAGACAGCGCGTGATGGCCGCGCAGGTGAGTGCAGGAGCCCAGAAACCGGGGTTCGGCCCCGAACTTTTTGGGTAAAATCCCTTGGGCCCTGCCCGCGCCACGCGGGACCCGAGTTCGGGAGCGAGGCGGCGGTGCTAGCCGACGGCCTCGGCGCGCTGGGCCCGGCGCTCCCAGCCACGCGCCCATGCCACGCTCGGAGGGACTGGTCTCCGACCCCGCCCGCGGAGCAGGGACGTGCGGGCTTTGCTCGGCTCCGGAGGCCCGGGGATCCCTGACCCGGTCCTCCAGCAGAGAGTTGCGAGGTTCGCCCCTTCGAGAGTCCCCAAAGTCCCCAGAATCTGGAATCCCGCTTTCACAGCAGAGTTGCGGGGTTCGCCGTGCTGGGGAAGGGCCTCCGGAACATTCGACCCCGCCCCCAGCAGAGTTGCTGGGTTCGCCCCATTGGGGGTTCCCCGGGATCTCGAACCTCGCTCTCGGAGCAGAGTTGGGGGTTCGCACCTCTCGGGGATCCCTGACCCCGCCCCCAGCAGAGAGCTGCACTTAAATTAGGGAGGGGTGCTTCGTGGTGCCGGCCCCGGCTACTCGTTCGGGCGAAACCGAGACCCGGCTGCTGATCCAGATAACATGTCGGGAAGCCGTTTTTCTGGAAAGGTCGCTGTAACGGACGCCAGCGCGGCGTGGTCCCCGTCGTGCTCTTGGCGCACTTTCCGTCCTCGCCCCACGGGGATGCGGACTGAGCGTCTCAGCCATCTTGAGCGCCGCGGAAATTTTATCAACGTTTTAAAATTTGCTGTCTCGTCTTAAGTTATTCAAGTACAAATTATTTTGAGTATATTTTCAAAACACTCTTAAGAATTTTCTTTTAAATATGCGTTTTGCAGGGGGTTGAAGTTTTGTCGGTCGTTGCTGTATTTTTTTTTTAAGCGGCAAAAGCAAGACAGTAATTTAACATCTTAACGGCAATAGTTTATGTCGTGGATACCCCACAAGGATTTTCAGAAGAGAATAATACACATATTTTCCAGCTAAAAGTTGTTTCACCGTTTTAAGACAGGTTATTTAAATTTGAAAAGATACCCAACAAATATTTACCAACGATGTGCTATTTTTGATAAGGAACGTGTAAATATTCCCCGTTGAAAATGATTGAGATAAGATCGTTGAACAGGAGTGCATAAATGCTTCAAGATTATACTTTCTATATATTTGGTTTTTAAAAAAATGTGTTTTAAGCTAGATATAATTTGGCTTCACAGATAGTGCAGTTACAGAAATACAGGTTTTTTTTTCTTGGTTTATATATTTTTAGCTTAATCTATAGTGGATGAAAAAACTGAGTGTAGCATGAAAATGCATCACAATGAGCTTACTGAAAAAAAACTTAGAGACATTTAAATTGTATTTGTAGGTAGAAAGTATTCTGAACATTTAGTTGTTGGCCCAAATAGTGTGGAGAGTATAAAGTTTGGGAGGGGACTTTTCCTCCAAAAGTGTAATAAAAATATTTATCCAAGTAGGGCCATTAATTTTGAATAAGCTTTATTAGTAGGCTAACTTGGAAGAAGGCTTTTTGTTATGTTGAAAACAAAAGCAATTTAGGATTACGTTTATAATTTTCAGTGGTTTTCACACCAAAGGGCTGTGGTTATGCTATATGACCTTTCAAATCCATGTAATAGCCATTTTTTTTAGTCATTCCAAATAAGTTTGAAGTTGGTCTTAGCTATGACTCTAAAATAATTGCATTTTTTAATCAATTGCCCCACCTTCCCTGTTTAAATAACATTTCCTAAGAACCTGTGAGAAGTTTTTATAAAAATATCCTTAGTTTTGGTATATTTTGTGTGTTTTATGCATGCATAGGATTTGTGTAAATCAAGGTATAATTATGCATTGACATACTTCACAGGTTTGTAGGCACTTAATTATTTCTGGTAGGATCTGTAATATTCTGTTTTTAAACTTCTTGGTTAATAGAAAATACAAGATTTAAGCTTAATAACTTAATCTTCATTGATTAAGGATTTCTTTTGTAAGGTGAAGACTCCTTGTAATGAGTAAAATGACTTGCAAATTAATCAGCTTTCTAAATTTGGACTACAATTTTTTGAAAACATAAACTGTAGTTGTGTTTCTGGTTTCCCATTTTGATTTCAACTTTTGGCTTGTCTTCTCATTTCGATACCACCCAGAGTCAATTTCAACAGAAAGTCTCCTTTTTTTGTTACATGTATTAAGCAAAAATACAATTTATTTTCTTTATACCTCTTTTTTTTCAACCTTTAACAATGTTATTTGAAAGAAGATAAATTGAAGGACCATGAGGAGTTTCTTAGGTAGGTATGTTAGGTCTTTCCCAGCTCCTGACCTGGAATGTCACACCTGTCCTCCCTTTCTCATCACCTGCAACCTCTCCCTTCGCCAGGGACCTCAACACCAGCCTCCAGCCACTTTTCCCTATTACTTGTCTACATGTTCCCTCTACCCTGGAGAACGGGGCTCTGCAGGGTTTCCTAAGCAGCAGCTCCTGCCTTTCCTGTCCACCCTGCTCCCTTGTTCCCATTATTCGGCTGGTTCCTTGCCTGTCCAAATCCTAATACTCAAAGCCCTGTTCCAGTACCACCTCTGGCAGAGTCTCACACTTAAAGCCATTTCCGTCTCTGAATTTCCCCTGTAGGAATTGGTGTGTACCACATTGTCTTGAGTTGCATGGTTGCCGGCCTCTTGTTTCTCCTTTTAAACGGTAACTATCTTGGGATCTAATCCTGTATCTTGCTGGTCGTTGTTCCCATTCCTGTGGAACGAAGGAATACGTGATCCCATTCTCCTTCCTTCCTAATCTGTCAAGTGCTGACTTCTACTCTTCAGATAGAACTCCTCTGCTTGGCTGACTCTACTGTTTTTTCCTGATTCTTCTTAACCAGCCTTAATTCCTTCTACTCTTCATATTCAATTTGTTTAATAATTTTTTTTGAACACTTACTGTGGGCCAGACATTCTGGCTCTAAATAATTTCTCAGCTTTGGCTGCACATCATAGATACCTGCGTGGCTTTAAAAAGAAATGATTCTCTGACCTTACGCTGGAGATAATGGATCATGATGCTTGGGGTGAGCAGGGCTGCAGTGGTTTTGGTGAAGCTGCACAGGTGATGCTTGTAGCGTGCTGGGGGTTGACCCTCTGCCCTGTGCTTCCAGGTGGCCCTGAGAAGGCAGCAGGCCCAGGAGGAGGAACTGGGGATCAGCCACCCCATCCCGCTGCCCAGTGCTGCCGAGCTGCTTGTCAAGAGAGAGAATAACGGCAGCAACCCGTGCCTGATGATTGAGAGCAGCAGCTCCTCGCAGCCCCTGCCAGCCAGCACCACCACCACTGCACCTTCAGGTAACCTGGGGGGCCCGGGGTTCACGTTGTGGCTGGGCATGGGGACGAAGAAGGGCTGTGGCCACCAAAGCAGAGTCTCAGGATTACCCTGAGCCACATATCACATTCAGAGCTTCAACGGTTTTCTTAAAGGATTCTTCCTCTGCAGGTCTGTTTTTGGCTGCCTCACAAAAGAGATGGCCGTGTACTCTAGAATTGGAAGTTCAACAGCTTCACTTCCTGTTGGTTATTAGCCAAGACTGAATCTGGACAGAGTCAGAATCACAGAATGTCAGAGGAATGCGATTCCAGATTTCATCTCAGTTCCACCCCTCTCCATTTGGGGGTCCTCTTGGTGGGAGCTAAAAAAAATCCTTGTTTTCTAGAAATGAAAGTCCATTGCTCTAGCAAGGACTATTAATGAGAAGGCCAATTCCTAGGTGTCAAGTTTCAGTGGGCCCTGGGAAGTGACAGAAGACATGTCCCATTGGCTTAAATTCTCTCACTTGGGCTAGGACAGTGCCAGGGGCTGTATGTATGCCAACTCACTTCATTTCATTTTTAGAAGAAGGAGGTATTAATCCTATTTTACACCTGTGAAAACTGAGGTGTAGGAAGTTTAAGTGACTGGCTAAATCTACAGAACTAGAAAGTATCTGAATTAGTCCATCTGCCTCCAAAGTTCACTGTGCCCACTGCACTGGGTTTCCATATTACCTTCAGCATCATGGTGATCTCGAGCCGCACTGTCCAATATGGGAGCCCCTAGCCACATGGGGCTATTTAAGTTTAAATTAATTACAATGAAATAAAATGAAAATGTTCATCCAGAGAAGATAAACAGATGGCCAATAAGCACGTGAAAAGATGCTAAACATCACTGATCGCTAGGGAAATGCAGATCAAAACTATAGTGAGATACTATCCCAAATGCATTAGCATGGTTACTATCAACCCCTCCCCATCCCCCCATACCCCCCCCCCGAAAATAGCAACATCAGTTAGGATATGGATAAATTAGAACCTTTGTGCTGTGTTGGTGGGAATGTAAAATGGTATGGCTGCTATGGAAAACAGCATGGTGGTTCTTCACAAATTGAAAATAAAAGTACCATATGAACCAGTAATTCCACTTCTGGTTATATACCCAGAAGAACTGAAGGCAGGGTCTTGAAGAGATATTTGTATACCCATGTTCATAGCAGCATTATTCATAATAGCTAAAATGTGGAAGCACCCCAAGTGTCCATTGACAGGTGAATGGATAAGCAAAATGTGGTATATACGTATCGTAGACTATTATTCAGCCTTAAAAAGGAAGGAAATTCTGACACATGCTACAACATAGATGAACCTCGAGGACATTATGCTAAGTGCAATAAGCCAGTCACAAAGAGACAAATACTGTATGATTCCACTTACATGCGTAGCATAGTCGAAATCATACAGACAGAAAGTGGAATGGTGATTGTCAGGGACTGGGGGGATGGGAGAATGAAGAGTTATTATTTGATGAGTATAGAGTTTCAGTTTCACAAGATGAAAATAGCTATGAAGATGGATGGTGGTGATGGTTGCACGTTATAAATGTGTTTAATACCACTGAACTATACACTTAAAAATGGTTAAGATGGTAAATTTTATGTTACATGCATTTTACCACAAAAACAAATAAAATAAAACAATTGAAAACATTCACTTCCTCAGTTGCACTCACCACATTTGTGCTCAGTAGGCCTCCCGTGTTGGATAGTGTGATTTGCATTTCTCACGAAGTCCCATTTGGCAGCACTGGTCTAGAGTGCAGGAGCTCCAAGAAACCCACCAATCAGAGATCTGTGAAATCATTTGGCAATAAATACATCTATTACATATTTAATGTATATGCTAGGATTCACAGAACGCCTTTAGAGCCCGCTGTGGTTCTGTGAAATACAGCTTTGCAGTGTGGTGCCTCTTCACTAATCTTTTCATGAGTTACTCAGATTGCTGTGCTTAACCACTGGGCCAAAGTTATTCAGCTGCCTGTCATTAAGTAGCTGTGCAACTTTGAACAAGTCACTTAAGCTCTCTGGGTCTTTTGTTTCCTCTTCAAAAATAGGAGGGGGGGGGACCTTTGAGGGTTTTGAACATTCTATAAGTCTTGACCATTATAAGGAAGGAGAAGGTAAGCAGGCACCAAAAGAAGCCCGTGAGAGGTGGGACCACAGTCTCTGCGTTGCAGATAGGGGTGTGTGTGTGTGTATCTGTCACTGTGTATGATACTGGGACTATAGGTTCTGTAGTTAACAAAGGGAACGGTATTATTATTTTATTTTTGGCTTGGTTGCTCATAATATATACTTAAAACAGTTTCCAAACTCTCCTCATTAAAGGAAGTATGTGTATCCAAACAGAAATATCATCTTTACACATTGGGATTTTAAGCGTCTAAGGTTAATTTTCAAATAATGCATATGTGGTCAGGGCTAATCTGGTGGGTTCAGCTGGAGGGCTGAGATGGGAACTGGGTGTGTTAGAGGAGTGAAGAGGCAAGAAACGCATTTGATGTTCACAAACGTCTTACGAGATAGGAATTATTATTCCCATCTGCAGATAAGGAAACCAGTGGTTAGGAAACTGCCCCAGGATAGAGCTGAGTGGAGGTGAGATTCGACCCAGGCCTGTCTGTCCCCAAACCCATGCATTTTCCATTTCAGCTGCCTGTGAAGAGAGGCTGTGGGAACAGTTCCCATGTTTCCTTAGAAAATGGGCAATTATGATTAGAAGCTATGATTTAATCTTCAGAGGGGATTCAGGACTAATGGACAAATAAGAACAATCTTAGGGGCAAATGTCTCTGCCATTCTTTGTTGTCATAGAAGGCCGCAGCCACTGGTCTTCACGGAGAGAAATACAGGGAAAAGCCCATGACAGAAAAATGTCAATGCTGGGCGTTTTGTAGGGGCCCACAGTTGAATTTGGTCTAGCCTGCTGTCCTGCATTCCACCTTGGTGGAAGGGATGTCAGAGTTTGATTGTACACCCCAAAGTGGCAGAGTTTTAGAGAGGATTTCAGGCTAGATGGAGTTTAGAATGACAGAGTTCTCCCAGGGTCTTTCATAGAGCGGCGTTAGGGAAAGTTACAAATAGAAGCGGCAGGAAAGCAAGATAGAGGGAAGGTTCAGGGTCAAGGAGGATGTGACCAGATTGCCTTCTTGGCTGTGGAACCCATAGACCTTGGAGTCATTTTGGAGTCTTGAACCAGAGCAAAGGGCGGGGAATGTGTGCTGTGCGTCTGTGCCCTGGTATGGGTGGGGACGCATGGCGCTGGAGGCTCTCCCTGCTCTAGGACAAGGGGCTCCCCCCAGCCAGCTCATCTCTGGGGGTCAGGAGCATCAGATAACTGCCATTTCTCCCCTGGGCTCCTACCAAAGCTCCTGAGTTGGGATTGATAACTTCCGGACGGACTGGGCTGGGGTGTGAGTAAGAGAAAAACAGAATTCCCAATAGAATTAAACTACATGAATACGTAGAGGGAGAACCAAGGAGAAAGAAAGAGAGAGAGAGAGAGAGAGACAGACAGACAGACAGACAGACAGACAGAAAAAGACAGAAAGAAAGGGAGGAAGGGGCTGGGGAAGTGAGGGAGAGAGAACCAGAGAGACAGACAGACTGACTGGAGAGTGACCTTCAAGTTTTATGCAGCTCATGGGGCCCAACTTCTTAGATAGCTTGCTGCTAACAGATACGTAGCTCATATTACATTTCCAGAGATTAGGATTCACTTAACATAACATTTAACTTTCTGTAGGTGAATAGTACACATTTTAAGAGTACAAAAGCATATTCAAAGGAAGATAATTGTTCTTCCAATCCCAACCTGCAGGTCTCTTCTGTTTGTCATTCCAGGATTATGTGCTGTATGTAAAGCTTATGTGTCTGTTGATCATTTTCATATGTGTGTATGTATATATATTATTTCTATATTATATATATTAAATATGTTATTTATATATTTAACATAATGGAAGTGTATTGTTCCCACCTGTGTGTAATTTTTTTCTCATTTAAAACAGCTTGGAATGTATTAATGGCCTAGTATTCCATTATATAGATGTGGAAGGCTAGGATTTGAAATGATTTAGTGAGAGGTGCAGTGGTAGGAATTGTTTAGGGTTAGTGAAGCCTCCCAGCCTGACACTCACGGGGGCAGTTTGCTAAAACCTAATGTGTAGTGTCTACAGGGCAGTAGCTTTGTGGAATTCAGTAGATTTTTTCATAGCCTTGAAGTTTTTTAGTTACCTCTTTGGCTTCCAAAAGTGAGAGTGTCACATGCCCAAGAGTTATTGCCAAGATTATTGGCTGAATTCTAAGGATACTGTGAAGGCAGTTGGATCTACCAAGCTGTTGTTTCCTTTATTGGAAAACTCACTCCTTGAAATAGGGTAATGTACCTTAGAAGAAAGTCTGTACAGTTCTTAGCCAAAGATTAGCAAAGATCGACCAAAACACTGACCGCATGTTCCTTGAATAATGGGGTACAGAAGATTTTTGTTGTTATTTCCATCCATGATTGTGTGTATTACTGTGGTAGAAATAGCCTTTTGAAGAAATGCTCTGTTCATTGCTGTTTGTAATACTAGCAGGACCAGGTGTTACCAAGTGCACTACTGATTAGCAAATAGTTTCTTCCCGACCATTTTTGGGGCACCCAGGAAAAAGAGGTAAGCATCTGGCTTATAAATGACTATGAATTAATAGCAACTTCAGCATTATCTCTATGGTTTTACTTTTTCAATTTTAGCACTTTATATATATATATATGGTTGTCAGAAAAGTCATGATGCATTTTTGCAACAAAAAACAGAAAAAATATGTCATGACTTCCGACAACTATGTGTGTGTGTGTGTGTGTGTGTGTGTGTGTGTGTGTGTGTATATATATATATATATATATATATATATATATATATAATTTCAAAAATTATCAACAGACTTAAAAAAATCTCATAGGAATTCTTTCTCTTTGAATTTTGGCTC